CGGGTCTGGTGGGAAGACAGCGTGTTCCATATGGGACGCATCTGTTTGAAGGACCTGTGTGATGGTCAAGTTCACAGTTGTGTGTGAAGTACTGGCAAGAGAGTCAGGCAGAGGGAGGGTTGTGACTGATCCCTGCATAGATCCTAGAAAGCGCCAACCCTCCTAGGGGGTGTTTTCATGGTAACAGAAGGCTCCTTCGAGAATAGCAGGATGTTTTACCTTCCCCCTTTTATTCAGACTCTGCCGAACAATCCGTTTTCTAATCATATTCTGTGAACAGCATCACTAACAGCTTGGATAATGTTATCTTAGTGCGTGTACATTTACTTAACCAGCCACATAGGGTCCTGTTAGTTTTCACCAGTGTTTTACTGGTTTAAAAAAAGAAAGAAAGAAAGAAAGAAAAGAAAAAACACGATGAATATTTGCATTCCTCCAAATTAGGTCCATGGGGTGTTGGTAAGCAATGTGGGGGGACAGTGTTCCAAGGTCCATAAATACATTTGGAAATCGTGGTTTAAAAAACTATGAGGTAGGCTTCTTTACTGGGATTTGCCAAACCCTTAAATGTGCTACTGAGTGCTGGGTCGCTCCCCGAGATCATGGCTGGGGTGTGTTTATACCTTTACTAAACCCTGGGCCATGGCGTGCTTTTGAGAGGGACTGGTCTCCCCAGAAGTTGCCTTGGATACTAACCTGCATGTAAAGGCTGCCCCAGAGTGCAACACGCGGCTCCTGTAAACACGAATCCTGTCTTTGATGCATGTTATCAAATGACTTTCCCTAAGGCCAGTACATTGCTGATGTGGATATAAATTGTTAACGTGCTTCGCTGAACTCTCCCCCAACGGTGACTGTGAATTTAAACCTGACCTCACTTGGTTGCGTTTCTTTTCCAAGGTACTGATTACTTGCTGCCGCTGATGTGAGCACTTTCTGATTTCTCTTCCTACCTATCGGGCTCTGTGTTTGTTCTTATGAACACAAATGGTTTCTTTTTATAAGCGGACATGATTGCAGAATTTCGTATACGTATGGCAGTCACTGCTGTTTTTGTATTTGCTTTTTAGCAGTGCTCTTTTTGAATTTGTCACACTTCTTCTACATGTTTATGAATCCATTCTCGAAAGCATTTATTTTTGTAGCTTTCTCACTGTATTGAAGCTGAGAAAGTCCATATATAAAACTTGATGCACTTCATAATCACTTCTTGGTTTTTTGTTGTTATTCCCATTAGCTTTTAGCCCCTCTGGAATTTATATTCATTTATCTTGCTGTTCTGCTCTCCCCCCAAAAAACTGTTTTACAGCACTATATATTCTGTATCCGTTTTTCCTTTCAAAATTAATTTATTATACCCAGGCAGTCCTTCCATAATGGTGATGGGGGGGGGGGGAGATTATCTCTGCTTCCTAAATTAGCAGACTGAGATGCATGGGAATTTATTAGTGGTCAGTTACTTTGGCCAGGGTCCGTCGGGAGGCAAGCATGTTTTGTGATAATGTGATGAAGCCACGACCTTTCTAAACGGACTTACACTTACTCTGTGATTTTTTAAAATTTCCTGCCTGGAAGCTCCTGGGAGAGGCCACTCGGAAGAACAGAAGTCTGCGTGTTTAAAGATATTTGAAAATTAACATGGAGAAAGGAAACGTTGGTTAGGAACCAGCGTGACTCATAAAAGCAGCCGCTTTACAAACTCGATCAGGTTTAAGTCTTCCGTCCACCGTGCAGCCAAGAAAAAGCAGAGACGGGGGCCACTCCTCCCGCCTGGGAGCTGGGACGGGCCGAGCCAGGGCTCCTTCGGGACGGTCTGTCGCTGCTGGGGTCCACGGACAGCGTCTTAGAGTCCCAGGGACCGCTGTGTGGACAGCATCAGTGCTCTCCGAGGAGTCACAGCACGGCACTCTGACAGCTGCAGGGAACAAGGGGGTGTAGAATTAAGGAGCCTTTTGCTGAAGGCTTGTAGGCGGGGAGCACATTGACATTCTTTCCACAAGGCTGGACCTGGGGGCCCTGGAGGTGACGGAGAAAGGGGTCCTCTGGTGTGAGAACCACGCCCTCTTCTCTGGGCAAGCCCCTGGGCTCAGCTAAGGGCGCCTGAGCTCGCCTTTCTTTCAAGCGCCCTTACTCTGCAAGTTCACGTGGACATTTCGGAACAGTTCCTCCTGCCTGGGCTGAATCTTGCAATCAGGCCGCGCTGGTTCATTTGTTGTTGCTGTTTTTGTTTTTTGTTGTTGTTTTTTTAATTTTTTAAAAATATATATTTTATTGATTTTTTTACATAGAGGAAGGGAGAGAGAGAGTCAGAAACATCGGTGAGAGAGAGACATTGACCAGCTGCCTCCTGCACACACACACACACACACACACACATACACACACACACCCCGACTGATGTGCCCTTGACCGGAATAGAACCTGGGACCTCTCAGTTCACAGGCCGACACTCTATCCACTGAGCCAAACTGGTTTCGGCTTGTTTTGTGTGTTTTTTTTAACAATCTTTATTGTTCAGATGATTACAGATGTTCCTCTTTTGTTTCCCACCACCCCCACCCCCCCATAGCTCCCCTCCACCTGATTCCCCACCCCACCCCAAGCACTGGGTTGTTTTTTTAAAGCCCGCCAAGTCCCATGTGGAGGCAGTGGCTCCCTGCAGACACAGGCGGCTGCTTGTCCCCTGGCAGGGCCTGTGCCCTCCAGTCCCCAGCTCGGCAGCTCCTGGGACTGATCCCTTCTCAAGGCCCCTGGGAGCCACTTTTGTGGCCATTCCCTCTGGTCCCACAGGCCCTCCGGTGGAGGAGGGGCTCCGGGGACCGCTTGGCAGGGCCCACCCGTCTCCCAGTTTGCAAACCGCTCTCGCAGGGGGCGCCAGGCCAGCCCGGAACAGGCGGCCCCTGTTCCCCCCATTGTGTGCGGGGGTCGGCGCCTTCCCCCAGATGACCTGAAAAGTTAGAGACAAAAATCGCGTCTGCCATGGGAGGGGGGCGTCCTTGCACAGAAAGGAAGGAAATACCTCTGTGGGATTTTCCCCCCTCTCTCCATCCAAAAAAATACAGAGCCTCTCTGTCTTGCATGCAAAGGCCAGCTTTAAATCTTTTAGGTTTGGATTAACTCTGCAAAAGGGAAAAAGAAAAAAATCTGACAGGCTTTCAGATATGACGAGGCAGAGAAAACTTTTCCCCCCTCCGTTCCTGTTGTTCTTGTGTGAAGCCAGAGGCTGTGGGCTGAATGGGGGTCCCGTTACCATCACAATGGTCAGAATGAGCAGCCAGCGGGCTCCCCCCAGGACTGGGCTGCCTTTTCTGTCAGCGGACTTTTAATCCAAGGTGGCCAAGGCAAGAATAAATCTTTCTCCTCCGGCCCCCTCAATGGAAATAGGTGTTTTCAGTGCCGGGGCTTAGAATCTTGAGTCTTACCTTTTCCCCTCAGCAGGGAAGAGACATGTGGTGGGGGTTTCCTTACAGTAATCACCATCCTAAAAGGTTTCCTTCACTCCCCACAAAACCCACGGACTTGATAGACATTTCCTCTTACACCGTGATTGTTGGTTTTCACTATTGAGGATGTCAGCAAACACGTCGAAGATCACGTTTTGCTTGCAAAATAAAGTGACTTTTATGGGAATATTTTTCACGCGGTTGGTGTCCAGAATATGGGTGCTGTTTCGTTGAAGCCACGTGGCAACATTTATTTTCTGATAATTTCGTAATCCCGTGTTTTTATTTTAACTGTACTCAGAGCTATTAAAAGGGGAGGGGGTGGAATCTTCGTATTCTTGAGCCGACACTCTGTATCGATATGCCGAGTTCATGTAGAAAAAAATTTAAATAGCAATTCCTGGTCTTCAGGTGAGTTCAAATGTGAAACATAATTAGTAATCTTTCAACTTGATAAGGATTGATTGCCTAGGGTTGTTTGTGTGTAATTGTGAAACTGCCTATATGAATTAAACTCTGGATCATTTTTAATTACTGAACCACACTTGGTTTAAAAAAAATTCTGTGTGATTTTTGGTAGAGTGTAAATGTGCATGCATTAGTTGGCTACATTTTCATGGGGTTATAACAGTATATTTACTGCAAATTTACTCTTGCTAAATAAGACTTAAAGTGAAACAAAATATTTATTTTGGCTTTATTGTATGGCATAGTCCTTTCTTTTAAGCTCTTTGTAATCGAATTACATTACAACAGAATTTGTATTATAATTGCAAATAACCAATAGAATTTATGTTATATTCATAGAATCATTTTTTTTTTGTAACCCAAATGGCTCTGATATAGCAATTTGGGATTTGATACAAAAGAATGATTAAATTATTTTTTACTTTTACTTGCATTTTTTTATATGCTAGATGTTTGATTTAACTTTAGCAATAAAAGAATATATCAAAACAAGTTATATAAATCTTGAAACAAAAATTTAGATTATTCTACATAATATCAGCTGAAAATAGTAAAATTATTTTTATAGCTATCTTAACTTAATTATATTATATTCATTATTTATCTGGATAGTTTCTTACTATCATGTCTTATTTTATAAAAATCATTAATTTTTATTTGCAAAATAGTGAATTTAGTTTCTAAGTAGGATTTATTTTACATGTTGTATTATAAGAGAATTTAATCCAGAATATATTTGAATTTGCCCAAAATGATTTTTATATTATAAATATATAAACCAAGGACAAACATATTCTACGTTATAAAAGAATGCCAAGGTTTATTCCTCCATGTACTGACCACAATAAAAATCTCATAAAAATATGAAAAGACTTGACAAATGATAAAACATTGCTGTATTAGACACTCAATGAGGGGGGAAATAGATGTAGTAAATACATGCGTTAACCCATTTGGCTTTTAATTTGGTATATTTCACAAGCTTAGAGTTATAGTATACCCTCTTGCAGAACGAAATTCTTACAATTATTTTACTTCATGTCCTATACAAACTGAGCATGAATGACGCGTTTCTGGTGGTTTCCTCAGGCAGCCATGCTGTTCAGTTCCGGAGTCTTCTGGATGGGCCTGTTATTCATCCCCGTGGCCTCCCTGCTCCTTGACGTGGTGTACAAGGTGTAAGTACCGTGGTCAGTTATGTGCATAAGAACACAGGTGGATGTTAATCCACACATTTCTCTACTCGTAACGTCAGCTCCAGGATGTGCAGTTTGCAGAATAGGAATTAGTAGTGTTTGTTTATTCTACATAAATAAGTAAAGAAGGAGTGACTGAGGAACTAGAAATCTAAATTAGTTTAAAAGACACAAAGCAGGTAGTTTCAGTGAATATTGGAGAAGACGTTTTTAGAAATCATCCTGAAAAAAACCAGTGAAGGTAGGGGGAAATTTTTATCATCGCCAGACATACTTATATATGTTATTAGTGAAGAGGAGTTGTGAAGTTTTTTGCTTGCCAGATTCTAAACATACATAAAATATAGAATGAAAGAGACTAGGACTTTACTAATTTATGTCAAGGATTATAAGTTTTAAAATGTCATCTCTTCCCACAAAAAAACAGTACCATGAAAGTTAGTTGTATGATGGTTAATAACTATGAGAGTTTTAATGTTATAAACCTAATCCATTTAAGATTATTGTTTCTATAATTATATTAATGCTCAAAATTATTGTCATTTTTTATATTTTGGTGAAACACTGTTGTTCTCTGGTCACTGTTGTACTTAGAGGAATGATAATAAAACAGTTTTGTGAAGTCTTTCGTCTTCACACAAATATTCCCATGCAAAAATTTGTTTTTGCAGTATCAAGAGGACTGCTTTTAAAACCTTAGTAGATGAAGTTCAGGAGCTGGAGGCAAAATCTCAAGACCCAGGAGCAGTCGTGCTTGGGAAAAGGTAATGTACACTGCATATGTTCTTTTCCGAGTGAATTTTACATTTTTCTTTCACTAGCGATTGGAAATAAGTGGTAAAATTTATATTTTATCAGTTAACAAGGAACTGGCAGTGTTGTTGACAAATTTTGGAATCAGAGAGATGTGGATTCAAATCAAAGCTGCCATTTTACTAAGCTGTGTGTGACCTTAGCCAAGTTGCTTAATACTACTGGGCCTTAGTTTACTCATCTATAAAATGGGTGATAATTCCTACCTCAGGACTAGTTGTAAGAATTGAATAAAATACTAATAAAATCAACCAAAGGCCTTGTATGCATGACTATCAGCCTAACCAATGGAAACAAACACAGGGGGGTAAGGGCATGAGTGGGGGCGGGAGGCAATGGGGGGATAAGGACCATATGTAATACCTTAATCAATAAAGAAAAAAATGTTTACAAAAAATACTATCAATAAAGCAAATAGCTTGATGCCTGTTATACTCATTAAATAAATAGTAGTTATGCTAAAGCTGGTTTGGCTCAGTGGATAGAGCGTTGGCCTGTGAACTGAAAGGTCCCAGGTTCGATTCTGGTCAAGGGCATGTACCTTGGTTGTGGGCACATCCCCAGTAGGGGGTGTGCAAGAGGCAGCTGATCGATGATTCTCTCTCATTGATGTTTCTAACTATCTCTCTTCTTTGTAAAAAAAAATCAATAAAATATATTTTTAAAAATAGTTATAAGCAATACTAGAGGCATGGTGCACAACCTTCGTGCACTCGGGATGGGGGGCTGTTCCCTGAGCCCAGCCTGCACCCGTTAGCAGTCCGGGAGCCCTCAGTGGGTATCCCACTGATGGGGGAGCAGGCCTAAGCCCTGGCCAGACATCTTTACCGCTGCTCAGAAGCGGGAGAGGCTCCCACCAGCACCAGTGCACTCGCCAGCCATAAACCCAGCTTGTGACTGAGCCGCACTCCCCCTGTGTGCATCATAGCAGTCTTTCTGCTGTTCGGTCAATTTGCATATTACCCTTCATTATATAAGACTGTCTTATGGAATTGAAAGTGGAAGAAAGACTTTTGGCTTCAAACAGTATCCATAATAAACTAGGATGTCATGAAAATCAGAGCCTGTCTTAGGACAAAGTGCCCTGCAATTGCATATGTGGCTTGGTATGTGATTAGGACCTGATAGGCACGTATCATACATGAGTACTCCAAGCCCTTTCCTCAGCAGCACCACCTCAAAAAAAACAAAAAAAAAAACAAAGCTAGAAAGCTAATCAAATGTATTACATTGGCAAAGCTTTACAAAAAGGAAATGAAAATTATTTGAAAGCAAGTCTGTAATGAACCCCAATCATGAGGGTAATGCCAGGTATTTTTTTTTCTCTCTTTCATCACACTAATATAAGCTAAACCGTATGAAATATGTCGCCCTGATGTGTGTCACCTTCTTGGTGATTCCCTGTTGTTAATCTGTTTGACACAGTGGAGTAAGTGTTAAGCTAAGACCTTGGCTTCCAGCCCTCACTTGTTCGCATGAAGCCGAAGGGGCACATCATACCCCAGTCTGCCTCTCTGAAGCTGTTAGCGTTGGTTTCGTTGGGCACTACTGCATGCCAGGGGCTGCCCTTACCACCCATGTCTACTATCGCATTGAATCCCTGTAACAACCGCATGCAAACCCACCATCTGCATTTTTTCCAGATGGAGGAACTGAGACTTAGAGAGACGATGTACTCAAGGTCAGAAGTCACAGAGCTGAGCTCTGAGCCACATGAATTGATTCCCAAATCCCTGATCCTAACCATTCATTGTTCTGCCTCCTGGCGCTACCTGCTCAAGGACCTGATAGAGCCACAAAAGCAGCCGACACTGGCCTGACACAGTCCTTGGCCTCTCTGAATCAGTATCCCTGTGATGGGATGAGGGTGATATTACCTATTGTCCAACTTAGAGATAGTCTCCTCCTCCCTCCACCTTCCCCTCCATCTCTATCCCTCCATCTAAAAATGTGCCTCTTTCCCATTGCATGGCATACACAGTCCCTCAATCAGTGACTTCTCTCTCTCTCACTCTAGCTATAAAAAGGATGTAAGAATTCTGGTTCGCACGACTGTGAATAAAACCATTTATGAACAATTATTAGGGAAAGGCCACCAATGATACTTGGTACTGCCCTCGGGAGTAAATTTCTCATATCTGTATGTCAATGAAACTTACATTAAGCCCCTTCGAGGGATATTTAGTTTTTGTGGTTTGTAATTTATCAGTGACCTCAGTGTCTTCCAGCTAGGTGATAGATAGAGGAGGGGGAGAGGGGAAATCTATGAAAGGAGAAAAATCTTAATTCATTGGAAGAGTCTTCATGCTGAACTTATGGCATTCTAGGCAGTTAAGGAATTGTCAATTGATTTTACTGCCACGATTATTTTAGAAATCTTGAACAATGATATCACTATCAAATTTTTTAAAGTTTGTTAATTTTATCTACATTTTCAAAGAGTAGTGGGTGGTAAATAGATGTTTGATTTGTAAGTAGTTAATTAAAAATAGGATACATAAGAACATAGAGTTACATGGGTTACTCTTCCGAAATTAGTACAATCCAAAATAATGATGGGGGTTTTTTGACATAGAATGATGCAGTTCTTTTTTTTTTTTTTTTTTAATATTTTTATTGATTTCAGAGAGAGGAAGGGAGAGGGGGAGAGAGATAGAAACATCCATGATGAGAGAGAATCATGGATCGGCTGCCTCCTGCATGCCCCACACTGGGGATCAAACCTGCATGTGCCCTTGACTGGAATCGAACCTGGGACTCTTCAGTCTGCAGGCTGATGTTCTATCCACTGAGCAAAACTGGCTAAGGCAGAATGATGCAATTCTTAAGGAAGACTTTGTGAGTTGATCATCCCTAATTTTTTAAATTTTCAATAAGTGATGCTATGAAGTCAAGCTAAACATAAGTGAAACTTTGTAACATGTAGGCACTGTGTCCAGATTAGCATTTGCAATAATTTATTTCCCATCTTTACTCATTGTCAGAAATTAAAACATCTTTGTTAAAATAATGAGTCTGTTTTTAAGTATGCTACTTACCAGCAAATTGGGTACATTCCAATTTTAAATCAAAATGGGCGTCAGGGATATATATTTCATCATCTTAAGCATATTGCTTTTAAACCTAAAATATTGGGAGAATCAGTCCAAACCTCACTCCTGACCACTGTGTAGCCATGGCTCTTCATTTTTTATTAAGAAAATGACTTAAAAGCTGAGTTCTTTGCTGTAACTTTTATGTGGACATGCTTTAACACTAGGGAGCGGAAGCATCTATAGTTCTAAAATCCAAAAGCAAAACTTCAAAAATCCATTTTTTCTCATAGATCTATAGCAAACATTTTTTGGAAAAACCTAAACTATTTGTTCTGTAAATATAACATTAATAATGTTTATTTTTTCTATAATGTAAATGTTTATACATTTTGTAGCAGAAATATTAACTTGGGGAGTTTCTTGGATTCTGCTTGAGGGTATTATATCTACAAGTTGTAACATCTTAGTTTCCCCACCGGGAACTGAGCCCACCACCCAGACATGCGCCCTGACCAGGAACCGAACCCAGGACCCTTCAGTCCACAGGCCAATGCTTTATCCACTGAGCCAAACTGGCTAGGGCTACCTCCTTTTTTAGTGTTTCTAAATGAACTATTATTTTAGAACATGTTATCATTCCACCTCATCTCCATCAAATATCCAAGTTGCAAAATGTTAGCGGGTTTGAAAATAAGGTAACAATATTTAAGTGGTAGTTGTTGTGTATGTAATTGCAATAAACGAATTCAAAAGTTGGCATGTACAGTATAGGAAAGACCATACAGATTGAGAAAAAACCACTGAGAACTGTGAAGAAGATAAGAGTTTTTAATGAGAAGGAATCCTACTCACTTTTCTTCTTATACTGTGTTCAGCTATTCAACAAAACTGAACTTTTAACACACCTATTAATGGTTAACATGTTTCATAATGTGACTTGATAGTAATATCAGTACCCATAAACATCAATGGCACAAAATGGCATGATGTTGACCTGATGAGTAGTTCTCTAATTAATGTAAGATAAGACTAGAGAAAATAGTAAACACAAATCATCATCACTTACTATTTATTAAGCACCCCCCTGTCAATGGCATTTCTATTCTTAAGGAGGGACTCCACTCTATAAGAAATAATAGTAGGTAGCTAAAGCAGAAAACACACAGAACTCACAGCTACTGGAGAAGTGGAGTGAGAGGATTATAAATTAAGCACATGTAGCCACAGGCATCTCCTGCTAAAGTAGTGTTAAATAAACACCCAGGCATCTTTCATTTTGTGATGATCTCTGTTCTAATTGATTTTATATATTTTTAATTGATTTCAGAGACAAACGGGGGGGGGGGGGGGGGAGAGACATCAATGATAAGAGAATCATTGATCAGCTGCCTCCTGCATGCCCCCTACTAGGGATAGAGCCCACATCCCAGGCAGGTGCCCTGACCGGGAATCAAAATGTGGCCTCTTGCTCTGACCAGTTTGGCTCAGTGGATAGAGCATCGGCCTGTATACTGAAGGGTCCCAGGTTCGATTCCGGTCAAGGGCATGTACCTTGGTTGCAGGTACATCCCCAGTAGGGCGTGTGCAGGAGGCAGCTGATCGATGTTTCTTTCTCATCGATGTTTCTAACTCCGTATCCCTCTCCCTTCCTCTCTGTAAAGAAATCAATAAAAATATATTTTCAATGTGGCCTTTTGGTTCAGGGTTTCCACGCTCAACCACTGAGCCACACCAGCCAGGCCCGTTGATTTTTTTATAACTTTTGGGGATCTGGTGCGTGGTGAGGGGAGCAGCATTTGTTGAGTGCCAGTCACTATGCTGGAAACTATACCAGTCACTGAGTCCTCTGCCAGCCTGGGGTTAGGGATTGTCCTCTTACACATGAGATGGCTGAGAGGGTTTGCCTAAGAAGGCCCAGCTAATATGAAACAGACTCAGAATTAAACCAAAGTAGGACAGCAGAGCCCAAGCAATGTGCTTCTTCCTCAGGAAAGACTGTCTTAGTGCTTTTTTTTTAACACTAGACATTCGCTTTATATAGAACAGCTGAGTGAAATTCAGCGCCGCCTTATTTGAAATGTTACTAAACAGCATTGCATTTTCTTATATCATGCGAGCTCCCATAATGTGAAAGTCAAAACTCTCATGTCCGCCTTCTTCACACTTGGATGTTGTCATGTGAAGGCATCATGCATTTCCGAAGGCCGGCCTGAGACCTGGGAATGTATTTGTGGGAGGAAGCTGCTGTGTAATGATACATTACCGCCCCCTCGTCTTCTGTAATCATTTCCATTTTACTTCCCCGGCATCCCAGCTGGCCAGGCTCTGCTAACGACATCAGACCACCTGCTGCTCAAGCTGCCCACGTCCCCAACGCAGTTACATATTTCAGTGTCCCTCAGGGTCCCCCGGCCTGTAATGCTAGATCATTTTCCAGTGGAGTAAGAAACGGGACTGTAAAAATGGCTCCTTTCCCTTCCCCTTATCTGTTTATTTCACTGGCAAAAGCGAGTTCTGCAAATATTTGCAAAACCACTGGGGCTGTGGATGAATTAGCTTTCTTGCTTTAATGTAGCTAATTCCCAGTGACAATAAAGTATGTCTAATAAGTACCAGTTAACTTCCCTAGCCTTTAAAAAATATCTGTGGAAGATTACTGCAGATGTCAACATTTCTAAATATTTTACTTCGGCAAAAGCCTAAATATTTGTGTAATTACAAGTTCATTTCGCAGAGGATCCGTTTTTTGGGGTGTTTTTTTTTTCTTTTACATATTATTAAAAATTGTTCCATTTCAAGGTCTCAAAATAATTGGCAAAATACTGAACTGACATAACTTACAGCAATTTAGCTGAAGCTTTTTATACTGGGGGAAATGCAAGATGGAAAATTTTCAACTGAGTCAATTCCAGTGGTTAAAACAAAATTGTATAAACATTTCCTGCAACGCATATAGATTTCTTATTAGCTCTTTATGCTTATTATGTTCTTTGATAGCAAAGCAAAGTTTTATAAATCAACCAATGGAGAAATGGTGTGGTTGGGAGAATTGATGCTGTTTCAAAGGGCATTTCAGGATTATCATTCAAATTCATGTATTCAACCAAAATTTGACTTTCCTATTATGTAAGACAGTTCTATGTATATGGGGGGGGGGGGGGGGGACGGGACTGATGCACTATTTCTTGCCGAATCCTTTTAGAAGTTACATCATTAATCATATGAATTTCTTCCTGTAGAAAGGATTATTCTAAAGATTTATTGAAAAATGAATTTTTTCTTATCATTTTACCTACCATAATTATTTTCTGAAGACAACTCTTTTATCTTAAAATGAAACGAAGGGACACATTTCACATTGTATCAGAAGTAGTGGAATTTTCCTAATTAAGTAGTCTAAGAAATTTCTTCTTTGTGTAATTTCCAGGATTTCTTTACATAATTAAAAAAAAAAAGTAGATTGCATACCAAAATATACTCAAAGTAGGCAGAAGCTATAATAGTAATTAATTATTGTCATTCTAAAAACAAAAAACAAAAACGTGTGCTTAAAATATACATAGTAAGTCAACTAAGATTTTTAGAAGCAAATAAACTATTGGAAGATTTTTTTTTTATCTTGTATTCATTGTATTGTGCAGGTTGTATATTTCCGTTTGACTTAACTATAACTGGGAGGTGGGGAACTCTTTTGACTGGATTATTGGGGACAAAATAGTCTTCTATCTAAACTCTTGAAATCTCGTTAGCTGAGAAAATGGGGGTAAAAGAGAAATCACTGGACCACAGATTTCCCAAGCCATCTTTTGTTTAAGCCTGAGTCTCTCTGGTGGTCCTGCGGGCGCACGGGGTCTCTGCTGAGCTGATAATTCCTTTCGTTTGCACCTGCTCCGCAGCCTCACTGAGAGGGCACAGCTGCTCAAGAACGTCTTTAAGAAGAACCATGTAAACTTGTACCGGTCCGAGTCGCTGCAGCAAAACCTGCTCCGTAAGTATTTGCAGTTTTTTGTTGTTATTGTGTGTGTGCGTGTGTGTTGTTTTTTTAACTCTGCCATTACTTGCTAGCATTCGTGAGAACAGTATTTTGACTTTAGGGACATTTCACTATTTTAAAATTAGCACCCACAACAACTTTTGCCTATTTGGCAACACGCTAGGTAAATAGCAAATGCTTAGAGAATCCTCTGACCTCAGCCATCTCGCTTTTAGCTGGGAAGACGGAGCGCTTTAAAGACTCGCTGCTTTCATTGAAAGAAAAATAATATTTCCACATGCCCCTTGCTTCCTTAAATCTTAAAAGGAACCAGTAAAATAAATCTTAACTCTTAAAAGCTCTCTCTGCATTGTTATCTTTTCTACTTGAATAACTTTGCAATAGCCTTTTCAGCTTTCATGCAGAACAATGAAACATATATTCTCCCCCTTCAAAAATATTTATGAACATTTGGAGTTGTAAGAAATTACTAGGTATCATGCCCTCTTCACATTTCAAAAGAATATAATATATAAAGCCCTGTAGTAAATGTATTTATGTTAGTAATATATCTTTTTGCTTCATGTTGTTTCCACATATAATTTATTTTTGTTTATGTACACTCATATTGAATGCTTTTGCTCTTATACTTCAAGAGATGTGATCCCCTGGGGAGCCATGTCTTATCCATGTGCCCCCACCAGTCCTGCTGGGGTTTGAGTGAGTTCATTTGTCGTTGCCCAAAGCCAAGCAGAATATTGTCCGAGGGAGAGACCATTTTCCACCATTCGTAGCTATATGTGCTTAGCGCTTCTTTGCTTTTATTCTTCCTCTCCCTCTCCTCCACCTAATCTATGTGGACATACAGGTGCCCACTTGACTGGGCTCCCCATCCCTCTGGAAGCCAGGAAGCGAAAATTAGAGGCTTGAACCTGAGATGCTGACCAGAGACTTGAGAGGGATTGAGAGTGCCCGCTCATTCACCTAGGGATAGAACGTGTAGTCTCTGAGCCAGTCATCCGTCCCCCTCCTCATGTAGCACTCGAGTCTCTGTCCTTTCCCAACATTAAAAATTAGTGTCATTTTTAATGGGGGGAGAAGGAGACAAGCATTAGCTCGCCAAGTTAGAAAAGGAGCACTCAGCACTCAGACGAACAGAGATTCCCAGTGACTTCATGCTGATCATTTCTCTTTTATCTTTAACTTCCAGACGGGTATGCTTTCTCTCAAGATGAAAATGGGATCGTCTCACAGTCAGAAGTGATTAGGGCCTATGATACCACAAAGCAGAGACCCGAGGAATGGTGATTGGGGAGGGGCGGCCCGGCAGGCAAGCTCGCTGTGTTGCTGAGGATGGCTCCTGAGTCTTCACGGGAATCTCCTGGCCAATTTCAGCCCCATCCAGGGAGGCGAACGGTGGATCTGAGCTCACGTCGGTGACTGACATTCAGATTCGTGTATATTACAGACAAAAGCACTGTGCAACCTACTGTAACACCATCTCTTTCCGATTTTGTAAAGTCTTTGCTAAGTCTTTGTAAAGAGATCGAAAACGACCTTGAATTTTGCTGGGAGTGCTTTCTTACACTGAGAAAAGATCAGTATTCTTAAGCCGTTACTGTGGGGCTATAACTTAACAATTTACTGGTTATACCACAAAGTGACCAACCATTAAAAACAAAACAAAACAAAAAAAAAAAACCTCTAAAATGTTCATAACTGAAGGGGCTCTCGATATCCAGACTTAGATTTCAGGATATGTTGGAGAAAAAAACCAGCATTCTTAAGGAACTGACTCACCTTACTGAACAAAATTTCTAAACAAGATATTACTAAGTGTTTGTGTCAAAAATTGTCTCGATAACGTGTTTGCCAAAGAAGTTCAATAAATGTATTTCTTGTCCAGTAGTCATTTGCCCAGAAATGTGAGAGTTTACCTCCAGTTCTGCTATAAGATCTGCATGCTTGAACTTTTCCAATCTAAGAGTGATTTGCAAAAAAAAATGAGTATTTCAAGGCATTTGCTACTAAAAAAAAATCTGTGATGTTGCACCTTTGGCCTTACAAACGCTTCTTTCTTGTCCGTCTCGTGTATTTGTTCAAGTCAGAGGTCACGCGTGGGAATGTGACTCTGTCGTTACCCTACTGATTTCTAAAACTGTGTTTATGTCTCGGTCCTTTCTAATGAGGTTTCATCATCGTTTAGACTTTTCTAAAAATCTGGCTTCTGCTGTAGATTGCGTGATTATCATTTTGTCCTCAAGTTTTCTCTCTCAAGAAAAATATGCTTATGTGTTCGCATGGGATTTCTCATGCTTCTGTCGGGATGTTTGAAATAACCATGTCAGACGAACGCATGGGCTTTTCTCCTGCGATTTGGTTCTCCCTGTGTGTTCCCACCAGAGGCGTCTGCTGTCTTGTGTAGCACAGGCCGTGTTATGCTGACTCCCTGAAACTTAAGGCTGAGGATTACTTCACAGCTCACTTGTCAAGCAGCTCCCTAAATAGGTCACATGCTGCTAATTGGCACAAATAAATAGTACATTTCCCCCTTTAAAAAAAAAAAAATACCTATGTTACTCAAGCCTTATAACTTTTCCATCAAAGAACACGTTTCATCATGAGCTGGTTTTATTCATACGTTTCAAACTGTATGTTCAGTTTCATGATTTAGAGCATGTCCAAGGCATCGGAAATGCCTGCTTTGCTACCAACAATAAATGGTGAAGGGGCTGTTTTAAAACCACAACCCATTTTCTACACGATTTTTAAAATAATTATTTTATGTAGGAAGAACTTAAAAGGAATTCTAGTTTTCAGGTACACGTCAGAGATCGATGCAAACTTTTTGCCTTTTATTCCCTGTTTGCCTTTAAGTGGACTTACCAGCAAAATAGGTAAAGATTCTTTTTTAAAAAAGAAAGAAAGAAAGAAAGAAAGAAAGAAAGAAAGAAAGAAAGAAAGAAAGAAAGAAAGAAAGAAAGAAAGAAAAAAGCAAACTGGAATTGAGAAGAGAGGGGATTTTCCAAATCACTCCTTGAATTGAATCATTTCACATTCTCTTCGCCCTTTTTCTCAATCTGGATGTAAAATTAGGCTGCACACCTTTTCTTTCCCTGCATTTTTAGCTGTTTGGTTACAGGCATGCCTCCCACATTTTCTACAAATAAGAGAGGCCATCACACCTACATAATTCTAACCTAAAAGGGGCCAGGAGTTGACATACTTCCCTTCCCAGTCCCTCCCCGCTTGGGCTTTAGAGGAAGGGAATCGTGAATCAAAGCATCCAGCAAAGCCACAGGTGGACGGTCCCCCTCACAGTTCTGGAGCCACAGGCTTTGACTGCCCGCCGAGTGGGTCTACAGAAGTGGCTTTTCTGGGTCTCACGACAATGGAAGTCCAACCACAAAAATTAAAAAACGAGAGTGACGGACCTCCCTCCAGAGAAAACCTAGTAGCAGCTAACAGGCACCAGTGGCTTCCACTTGCCCGCCCCTCAGTGGTGGCATTATTCTCCAGAGCTTGAAAAGGAAAATATGATGACTATAATAAAACTTAATGTTATGACTTCAGAAAACTGAAAGTTCTGTTTTACCTCAAAACATGGATTGTTCCTGTGGAGCTCTCCCACATGAAGAGAATATTCATGATGAATAATGTATGTGATCCTGATCAGAAGTAGGAACTAATTTATGCTGCTTTTTTATCCCATGGCCCTGTGTTTGAATTATCAATATTAAGTCCTTTTTTTTTTTTTTTTTTTTTTTTTTTTTTTTTTTTTTTTTTTGCTGCTTGGGTGGGAGTGGGGCAGGTCGGGGGGTGGGGGCAGCAGGGAGTGATCTCCTTGGTGAAACTTAAAATATAACATTGCGATGGCAGTGACCTCATAGTGCTGCTTTAGAGAAAACCCTCTGGTTCCTCAAAAAAATACCCAAGGAGGAAAAGTGTAACACAGTTTACCGGGACTACAGAGAACAGTTGGAGTGACTTTCAATGTGTGTTTTCTGAAAATAAAGGACACCTACTCTTCCATTAAAGGGCCCCTTGTAGGGACTCTGGCAAATGCTAACGCCGTTGCTTTCAATATTTATAATTCAGAAAATACTACTTAACAGCCGAGAACCCTCATTCATTTTGGATTGGAAAGCTGGGAGTTGCTTCTTTCACATTGAATAGTACGCAGTGACCCTGTGCATGAACTTTCTAGATGTTTTATATAACATATAAAAATATATTGGTGTCTCACACCCAGAAAGATGCTCTATGGTGGAAATTGCTAGCAGGGAAGTGGTGTTTCTCAGGAATGTAGTAAATTTAAAATGAGAACTGTGCTGCCCACCCACCCACTCCCCGCTCCGTCAGATGCGAGCCTGCTTCCGCAGGGTCGTGAAGTTAGTGGAAAGCATCTTCGGATCAAGTCAGGTGACTGTATTCAGCTCCATAATATTGGCCATTGACATAAATGATATGGTCATTCAATAGGATCAGTGATTCCTCTTAATTTCTGGGGGGAAGGAGGAGGGGCTGCTAAGCATTTATTCTGACCATCACATTGTATGTTTTAATTTTACAATTTCCACATCCTAAACATCCAATAGGAAAGTCACCGGATAGCTTGTTGGGCATTGTGTGCACTGTAGGTCACTTACTGGTGTAATCTGCCACTTAAAACGTTCTTTCAGAAAACGAGTGCTAGTCTGAACGTAACAGGTTGCATATTCGTAGTTTTAAGTTACTTATAACAAGGTCATCATTACCACAAAGTGAAATAATCGTTAGGGTTTATTTCTGTGTAGTTGCTCTTGGATAGTTCCTGATTTTAAAACTTGTATCATCAAGGAAGTCTAGAATCTCATAACCATCTACAAAATGTATCAAGAAAATGGCCACCCCATTCAATCATCCGGGCCAGTCCTATGAATTCTTTTTGTCAACTAATGTAACGTGACACCATATGGTTTGTTACCTAAGTAATGCTTTTTAATGATGAATATTTCTGTAATGCCTCTTAAAGAGACCGTAGCCTGATTTTTCTCACGTTCAAGTAACTGAAGTCACTTTGTGAAACTTAGTTCTACTTTGCTGCATTTTAATTAACCTTCAACAGCTATTAAAATGGAATGTAAGTTAAATTTTAAAGGAAAGGAAATAAATGTTTCTCATTTTCCATCTTGATTTATTTTCTGTATGAGAGCAGCTGTGTTTTTGATAGGTTTATGGTTTGCATGAATTAATATTTAAAGTGGTCCAGGCCAATGCATGGCTATTGCTGTAAATCTTGATGTTTATTTTTCCTTTTAAAATTCTATCATGGCTTACCTGGAATTTAATATTCAGGGGGACAAATTAATTGGTCCACTGCACAACTTTTTTTAACAAGTAAATTATTTTATAAACAAATTTGAACAGATTTAATTGAAACTTTTGTTTAGCTGGCCTCTGAGAATCTTTCTTAATAAAGCTCACAAAACTCAGCAAATAAATCTCCCTTAAGTAGGAAAAAGGCTAGATTTCATAAACTCGCTTACTCTGAATTAACAGCAACTTTCCATAGGTAAATCTGCCCTTGCAAAGATGTGAGCAGAATATTAAAAATAATAATAAATATTTTTATGTTTCTTGGTTCTAGAATAGAAGCTATAACTGCAGTAAATACTGTTTCTTCTTTGTTTTACTACTTGAAGCTTCATTTTTCACATTTTCAAGTTTATTAGGTTTAAAAAAAAACAGGCAGCCTTGTAAGGCACCTACTATGGAAAATTGCAGTTTGCATTTGAGATAAAATTATATTTTCAGCCCCATGAAAAGCCATTCCTGCCGAAACTGCTGTAGAAATTGTGGCGCTGCATGAGTGGAGAGTGTTGAATCTGTGATCATAGTAGTTTTCTCAGGTTTGTTTGTGTTGATGTTCAATGCACTGTGTTTTATAAGTAGTTACTAAGTTGAGTAATATCCCGTTCTATGCAGTGTTACCTGTCATTGGCCTTTTGTGAATGTGCATGTTTTAAACTGCAAATTTTAAACATTTTGTCCTCTAATTGTTATTAAAAATGAAATAAACTTTACCATTACATAAAAAGTACTGTTAAAGTTTTAATTGCTAGTTTTAGAAACTATATTTTATAAAACCTTCAAATTCACATAACTGGCCTGAGAAGGGGTATCCATTTAATAGCCTTAATATATTTTGTTTACAACCCCAATGTATATAAAACATCCCTTCTTTTTTTGCCCACCTAAATGAAACATGGAGTGTATTAACATTGGTTTAGTAAGGAGAGTTTTGATAAGTATCAAAAAGAGAATAGTATCTTAAGTGAAATTACGTTATTCTGATTCTGCAGTCAGAAAAGCCTTCCAGGATTTGTTCCCCTTACAAATGCAAAGCAGCCTGCAAGTGAGCAACTTTTCCCCTAGGATGCATTTCTTAGGGTCTTTACACCCACCAATTTTTTTTAATCTTTTTTTTTTTTTTCCGTTCATGAGAAAGTAGTTATGTTTAGCCATTACATTTGCAGGAAGTAACCAGAAAATGATGAAATTGCCATGTGATATACAAGTACAGGAAACATCAGAAATGAGGACAATAGTTCCATCAAAAATAAGCATGGTTGCCCTAACCGGTGTGGCTCAATGGATGGAACATCGGCCTGCGGACTGAAGGGTCCCAATTCTGGTCAAGGACATGTAACTCAGTTGCAGGCACATCCCCAGTGGGGATGTACCCGATGCAGCTGATTGATGTTTCTCTCTCATCAATGTTTCTAACTCTCTATCCCTTTCCTTCCTCTCTGTTAAAAAATCAATAAAATACCTGGTGGTGTTTTTTTTTTTTTAATTAGGCATGGTTGGCTAAATAAAAGGTAAATGAAGCTGCATTCGAGCACCCTGCTGGCATAGGCCTCATTTGCAGGCACTGAGGAAGCAATCTGAGGCGTCCTGGTTATATCAGAGTGAGGGCCCCTGTCCTCTCCCACAGTCTTCCCAGGGACAGCAGTTGGGCGTGGCTACCCCAAGCAAAGCCATGTGCATACAGAAAAGTTACCTGTGAATTCTCTCAAATGATTTCACATGCAACTTTATTCTCGTTAAAGTAAGCACTGTGTGTATACGACCCTGTACTGTAGGGTGCCTTCTGATACATAAGGAAACTTGAATGCTTGTAAATTTAGTATGCCTTCCTCATTTAGACACTTGTTATTCTTATGGCTGTGGTACATTCACTTGTTATTTCAAGTTTATGTAGCGATTCAAATAAGAATTCTCTGTCAGAATAATTTCATTAATAACTAATATTTAATTGCAATTTTAAAGTAGCCATGTACATATAAAATGTGAACAATTTGGGTTTTTTTTTCTTTTTTAAATATATGTTATTGATTTTTTACAGAGAGGAAGGGAGAGGGATAGAAAGCCAGAAACGTCGATGAGAGAGAAACATCGACCAGCCGCCTCCCTGCACATCCCATACTGGGGATGTGCCCGCAGCCAACGTACATGCCCTTGACCAGAATCGAACCCGGGACCCTTCAGTCCGCAGACCAACGCTCTACCACTGAGCCAAACTGATTTCGGCAACAATTTGTTTCTTGATAGTTTAAGACGCCCATAAATTCTTACTTTTCCTGAACACATACTCAGTAAACTCCTTAGGTTATATAAAGGTAAACTGACCCCGTGAAATGGATCACATTACTAATTGTGATTGCATATATTTCCAGGAACCTTTTTGGTTATCTCATGTTAGGCAGGAAATTTCCTATGGACTTACTCGTAGGTCAATCTGGAAAATTCTTCACCATGAGGAGGAGCTAATAATGACTGCAATAAAGAGTGGAGAGAGGCAGGGAAATAAGAGGGAACAGTCTCTCCATTTGAACAATGAAAAGTACAATCTGCTGGCTTTAGAATGAGACAGTCATTTTAAAGCAAACCTACTATACTGCTTATCTCTCCACACTCTCTTCTTTGAATGCTTTGCCTAGTTTCCAGAATGCTTCTTGTTCTTTCACACTGTGGTTGCTTCTGTGCCTCCCTGTGAATTCTGTACTTTGCCGAATATGCTCTTCCCCTCATTTCCAGACCCTTCTCCCCCTGGCCATCCAGTCTTCTTCACTCGGCTCCCACTCATCTCTTCCTGCTCAGCTGCAGCCTCATCGTCTCCAGAATGAGGGAGGCCCTTTTGCCTGGGCAGCCAGCACGCTCTGCATGCACTTGCCCTATCGTTGCAATTCTAAGTGTTGGATTATGGATTCATCTTCTCCTACGTGGCTGTGAGCTCTTGGAAAAAAGGGAAGATAACATGTTTCATGTATAAGGTACCATAACATACACGGTTGCTGTCAGGCCTACGTCCATGGGAAAAGTGCCTCCTTGAATCAAAACTGTATGTTAGTCCAACCAGTGTTGCTCAGTGGTTGAATATCATCTTATGAACCAGGAGGTCATAGCTCGATTCCTGATCAGGGCACAAGCCCAGGTTGCAGATTCAATCCCCAATGGGGGGGCCATGCAGGAGGCAGCCAATCAATGATTCTTTCTCATCACTGGTGATTCTCTCCCTTCATCTCTGAAATCAGTAAAGATATTTTTTAAAAACTTGCACGTTATTCACCTTGTTACTCCCATCCTCTAGCACCATGCCTGACCCTGAGTGTGCCCAACACATGCTTGTTGAATGGGACGATTCCTGCAAATCTGACACAGGATGGCCTTCCCGCGCCCCCCCCCCCCCCCCCCCAGGATGTGAATGAGAATAGTATCAGCTACCTAGTCCTCAGAGAGAAGTTCAAAGACATGTACTAGATGCCAACGAGTACGTGGGGATATGATTTGATTCAGTGTCACTGAATGCCATATTTCCCTGAGGTACACAATGCTGGCCTCATTTTAAGCAATTTATAGCCAATGAACTTGACCGATGGGAGCATGCTGCTAAGGAAGGGAAGTTTGCAGGTGTGAGCTCTCACCATTCTTCAGCATTATCCTGTCTACGAGATAAAAACTGCTCCCCAAAGGGATGGCATATAAAAGTAAGGCTTCTAGAGAAACCTGACAACCAGATGGTTATCAGTGGGGGCAGTTCTGCCCCCTAGAGGACATTGTGAAATTGTGTGGGTGCATCTTTCTCCTTAAGGTTTGGGGCTGGGGCAGGTGTGCTACGGGCATTCATTGGAGAGATCCTGCAATGCCTGGGACAGTCCACACACAAAAGACTTGATGTCTCTTGGCATGGCTTTGGAATGTCCCACCATTCCTTTTGGTGTAAAAACTTAATGCCATTTACCCTATAATGTGATATTTGCGCTGCCTTAATATACACTGAATTTTCCAGATATATAACAACTATGCAAATCAAAGGAATATTAAACTTTGTTTGGAAAAAAAAATCACTTAAACAGCAGCAGTGCAACTGTGGTGTTTGCGTTGCCAGTTTAGCAAACCTGCATCATTCTGGTTTGGCCAGTGTGCTCAGTGATTGAGGTCCACCCTTGAGCAAGGAGGTCAAGTTCAATCCCCTGTCAAGGCCCATGCCTGGGTTGTGGGCTCAATCCCCAGCAGGGGGCATGCAGGAGGCACCTGATCCATGATTCTCTCTCATCATTAATGTTTCTATCTCTCTCTCTCCTTCCTCTCTCTAAAATCAATAAAAACATATTTAAAAAAAAAACTGCATTGGTCTGGATTTGGAAGTGTTACATGTCAGTGATCCTGTGTAAGAGGTTTGCATCTGAGTCCTTGGTTGGTGGGCTCAAGCCATTATATTTTGAAACCAATGACTTTTCCTTTCTTGCTTCTTTCTATTTACCATTGGGACATTGTATGGATTTTTACATTATATGTGTCATGTGAGTAATGGTATCTATGAATTTCACATGAGGACAGTTCAAGAAATGTCACAAAACAATTGTTCCAAGGAGAGCTCACTGGCTCCAGCAGAGTTGACAATCTCTGCCTTACAGAGAGGAGCTGGGCCTTGGGCTCTGCTCTGCAGTGGGTTTTATGCATGGAAGCATCCAAACCTCAAAGCAGCCCTAGCCAATTTGGCCCCCTGGATAGGATGTCAGCCCACGAACTGAAAGGTCTGGTGTTTGATTCAGATCAAGGGCATGTACCCCGGTTGCAGGATCAATCACTGGCCCTGGTTGGGCCCGTACGGGAGGCAACTAATCGATATGTTTCTCTCACACAGATGTTTCTCTCCCTGTCTCTCCCCTTCCCTTCTGCTCTCTCTGAAAATCAATGGAGAAATAACCTGTGGGATCTTGGGAAAGTTACTGTACTTCTCTGTGCTGGTTTCCAAATGTGAAATAGAAATTATAGTTAACTCCCCGTTGACTTTTTTTGGAGGATAAAATAAGTGAGTGCATATATATACTTACAATAGTGTGTGGCTCCTAAGAGCCCATGTAAAGATTAAAAGAGCCGAAACCGGTTTGGCTCAATGGATAGAGCGTCGGCTTGGGGACTGAAGGGTCCCAGGTTCAATTCCGGTCAAGGGCATGTACCTTGGTTGCGGGCATATCCCCAGTAGGGGGTGTGCAAGAGGCAGCTGATCGATGACTCTCTCCCATCGATGTTTCTAACTATCTCTCTCCCTTCCTGTCTGTACAAAATCAATAAAATATATATTTTTAAATATATATATATAAAAAGAGCCATATTTAACGAACATGAATAAAACCAGTCAAATGACATAAGAATGTGTTCCAGAGCATGTTCTCACATGTACATCCTTTTATGCTCAATCTTTCCTCTGCTCCTCCCTCTTTCCTTCCCTCCTCCTCTCCCTTCCCCCTGGTTCTTCCTTTCTTCCTTTTGTTCCTTCGCTATGGGGGCTAATTTGAGACACAGGAGAAAGCAGGAGACTGGAAGTCAGGGCTCCTTGGCCATTAGACTGGGCAAAGGCCCAGTATCTTTAAACTTATTTCAGAAAGGTAGGCCCAACAGACTCTTGGGTCAGAGTTTTACTCTATCGAGCTAGATTTGAAAAGAGCTGCTAAGGGTGACCTATGATAGTATGAATTCCTAGGCCTGTATTCCCAAACAGCATCTACAAGCCAGACAGGCAACACAACTGAGGGAGACGGGCCAGGTAGGGGGAACCAGACCGGAAGGGGGGACCAGGCAGAAGGCTGGCGAATGTCAAGTGTTCTGTCCGAAAAGGGCTGGCCTGAGCCTAAGGCAGTACACACCTTCTCTGGGTCACAAGAAGCCAGAAATCCAGATTCTTAGGGTGAGAAATAGCCCAACACATCTGAGGGCGGCATGCAGCCCACCAGCTGATCCTCAAGAAAAATTCACTTCCTTTACTGCTTTCATGAGCCCAATGCAGGAAATCGCTTCTTACTGGAGCTCAAAATCAATGTGAGACCTTTTTTCTTTGCATTTCAAATATGAAGTGTTAAGTAAAAGTTTTCTTTTTATTGCATAGCAAAGAGTATCATTAAAGAGATAAAATCATTAGAGCTTTGCTCTAAAATTTCCAAATAGATTTCACGAAAACAAGTATTTTATTTATTCTAACCCAGCAGGATACATGCCCAAATGCATAGTCACATCAGACATGGAACTCAGTGGCATTTGGGATATGTAACATTAGATGATTATAACCAGTAGCTGGACTTTGAACTCCACAGTTAATATTAACATAACAAATTACAGTGTGACTACTAAATAATTAGTACCGTCAATGTGGTAAATCCATTAAATTATAAATCTTTACATTTGTACATAACACATTTTACATATGTTTTAAGACCTAACCGTCCAACGTTCACTTACACAGAAAAAAAGATTGCTGAGCAAAAAGTCTGCAATAAATATTCCCTCCGGTGAGTTGGGGAGGAAACGCGCTCACATACATCCTGTGTTCCCATGAATAGCTGAGTAAATACTGAGCACTTTAAACACCTCCTGTGGTTATCGAAATCTTGTATTCTGAAAAAAAGCTCTTATCCTTTAAACACAATGTAATCGTTAATTTTAAAAGTAACTGTTTCTGAGGGTGCTAATTATTATTCATGGTTAGGTTGCTCACAAAATCATAAATAGGTTGTTTACAGTCCCCTCCATTTACTTAGTAGTTAATTCTTTTAAGTGGACCTTCAATAATAACTCCTACAACCAGGTACTGCCCTTTCTTATGTATGCATACATTTGTATGATAATTCACTAAGCAACTTATAATGAAAAAACAACATGTAGACTTTTCCTAAACAGTACAGCTGAGTTGTTGTCCAATAAAACATCTCCAACTTGTACGCAACTGTGACGTCTGAACTACGGTACCTTTTGAGTAAAAGTAGCGCACATGGAGACGTACTGCTCACCATGTTTTCCAAGCCTGAAAGCAATGACCTAACACAGTCATTCTGTGACGGCCGCCAGGTGCCTGGAGGCCAGGAAGGGCCGTGTTTTCCTAGCACTCTCCTCCACGCACTGCTGGGTTCGAGGGAAGTCTCCTCGCCAACATCTGTGGCAATGACAGCGGCCAGCGTCCCGCCTTTTGCCCTGGTGCTGCGCGCTGGCTGGGTTTATAGCCGGGCCTATCAACTGGAGCTGAAGTCTGGACAGGTCTTCCCAGGCAGTGGGGGCTCCTGCTGGAGCGGGTAAGCAAAGTACTGGGGTGACACCAGGAAGCCGGACGGCTGGGTCAGGTGGATGGGGTGGCCCGTGGTGTATGGCGGGGGTGGCGAGGGCACCAGGCAGCCCGGCTCCGCCCTGGCAAAGGAGAACCTGCGGATGGAGCCCCCTGTGGAGCTGGAGCTGGTGGCCGTGCTGGACTGCCGGGAAGGGGCTCTGAGGTTCGTGGAGGTCAGGATCATGGGCAGGGTCTCTGTCTGGTAGCTGCGGAGGGAGAAGCGGATTGGCTGCTGGGAGGGCTCCTTGGGTCTCAAGCAGGTGCAGCAATAGATGGCCACCAGAGAGCCCAGGATGATGAAGGCGATGAAGATGGAGCCCACAATCAGGAAAGGGACATAGACAGGCTCTAAAAGGAAAGAAAAAAAAAAAGACATAGACAGGTGCTGAGACAGGGGTCCCCCAAAACTCCGGGAAGCTTGGGGCTGGGAGGTGGGTGGCTCAGTGCTCCCACTGGCCAGCCCAACTTCTCAGCGCTGGTTACTGGGAACTCCTCGAGTGTGAACTCCTCGCGGAGAGGAAGGAAACTGATATTGTAGCCTCTGTTAGCAATTAGCCATCATCTTGCACATCTGGAAGTCAGAAGGAACAGACCTAAGCCTGTTCACGCACCGCGGAAAGGAAACGGCGGGTTTTTCTCGGTTACTGTAACTGTGGGTCTAAATCCGGGTTTTAGTCGTTTTATCACGGTGAGGCATTAGGGCTTTGACCCCTATCCGGGGCTGAAAATCCATCTCCCATCCCAGGTCTCCCATCTACGTGAAGAGAACGAGGCCTGTTGAATGAGCCCCCCCCCCCCCCCCCCCCCCCCCCCGAATGTGCCAGGCTATGGAGAGAACAGAGTGAAGAAACCCGTAGTGGGCCCCAGCGAACCGTGTCTCCTAATGCATCACAAATGGTCATCTCTGGATGTTTCCAGAAATAAGTCGGGATGCCTGCTTCAGCAGCCACATGCGTGCCTCTCCATTCCCACTCAGACTCTGGCACGATCGGGCCGAACTTTCGGGAGATCATGATGCAATCCTCGGCCTTGGTGGCCCCAGACTTTGTGGGAGAGCATCCTTCCCACAGAGCAAACCCCCATTTCCTCATCTCTCCACAAGGCAGACAGGCCATTTCCCACCCCAGAGGCACCCCCTGACTGACAGAGCCGCACCTGCAGGCAACCTCCAGCTTGGAGACAGAAGAAAACCCGCGTTGACCAAGGCCCTACCTCCATGTGGCTCTTCTTTATGTGTCATCTGATTCAGGTCCCATAGGGTGGGCATGATATGCCCTATTTTCCAGATACGAGAAGATACCAGAGAGTTTTCTACATTCGCCCAGGCAGTGAGTGACCGGGAACTATCAACCCCCACGTCTGTGGGCTCCTGGGTGCAATCTCCTCAGTACCCACCCCCCACCCCCCAATTGGGCCATGTTGAGTCACACCTGTGGAAGGCAGGGCGAACAGGACTGAGTGCTGCCCAGCGTTCCTGCAGGCTCTGCCATCCCCAACCTGCCTCTGAGAGCGGCATGCCCCTTGTAGGGGCGAGAAGAGACCCAGAGCGGTTCAGTCACTTGCCCAAGGTGGCACAGCTGGCAGACCACAGAGCCACAGCCTGGGAGAGCCTGCCAGTTCCCAGCCTCAGGGAGCGCGGGGGCTGTGCTCTCTGAGCAGAGCCAAGGGGTCCCGGGAAGAAGTCCCCAAAGCAGACTGGTCGCTGACACCCACTCTGTGTCTATGGAGAGCACCGGGTCTCCCAAAGCGAGAAGAGTGTATTTTTCTAACTATCTGCCTAGAGCTCCCTCCTTTCCGCTTCCCGAATCCTCTGGGCTGGGTAGCCTGATCTCCAAAGCTACATTTCTTGAAAGTCCAATGAAATTCTGGGGGCGAGCGGGCCCCCTTTTCTGCGGGTTACCCTCCCTCTCTTGGCGGGGGCAGGAGGGAGAGCGCCAGCGCCGTTCATTCATTCATTCATTCATTCATTCATTCATTCTCTCTCCACCTGGCCAGGCTGGACTTTCCCCCGCAGGTTTCCGACCTCCGCACCCAGCCTGGGGTCCGGGGCGCTCAGCCCGGGGTGCGGGGCGCCCAGCTGCGCCCGCCCCTCCGGTTTCCGGGCCATAAAGCCATCGCCGGGGGCTCTGAAGGGTTTCCCTGATGTTCTGACTCAGGTGGAAAGCTTTTTTTTCCTTTTTTTTTTTTTTTTTTCCCCTAGAGTGTAAAGTTTCTCTGCCGGGGTTGTGATTTATTCCGCTCTGAAGTGAGCGGAAATTTGACCCGTGTTTTCCGACGTGAGAATAGGGGGCGGGGAAGGCCCTGCGACCCCGGTTCTCCGTCTCCGCCGCGCGGACCCCGCGGTCCTGAAAGGCGTGACAATGGGGGGCGGGCCGCCCGGGGTAATTCGATGCAGAGGAGTGAAAGGAAGTCGGAAAATGGGAGAGCGGTTTAGAAACGCCACCAAAGGACCACAAAAGCGGGGGCTGAAGCTCCTTGGCCCTGCGGGGCTGCAGAGGAGCGCGCCCCAAGCGCTGCCGTCTCTGCGGAGTGATGGGGCCCGCCATGGGGCGCCCTCATCACCCCCAAAACCAAGGCCAGCCTGGTGGCTGCCCCCACAGCCCTTCTCTGCAGCCCCCCGAGGGCCCGCGAGCCGCAGCCGTCTGCCCTCGAGTCACCGGGCCTCTCCAGCTCCCTGCGCCCCCTCTGCATCGACCCGGGAGACCGGGCGCCTCCCCGTCCGCCCGCCCGCCCGCCCCGTGCGCCCTTCAGCCCGCCCCGTGCGCCCTTCAGCCCGCCCGCCCTCACACCAGCCGGCCGGGGAGGGGGACCCGCACTCACGCGCCGGGATGCCGGGGTGCTCCAGCTCCCCGCGGTCGTTGGTGCAGCCGCCCTGCTCCAGGCGGGCGTCGGCCGCGGCGCAGCAGTAGCGCAGCGCGCAGGAGCCGCAGCAGATGGTGGCGTCCGGGGTGTCGAAGTCCTCTGGGCACTGGAAGCCGTCATGGTCGCTGCCCTGCGCGTCCACCCAGCCGTGGCAGTACTCCCCGGCCGGCTGCGCGCCCGCGGGGCCCCCGCGCAGCCCGCCCAGCAGCAGGCACAGCGCCAGCAGCGCCCCCATCGCCGCGCTCCGGGGCGGCCGGGAGGGAGGGGCGCGGCGGGAGACCGGAGGGCTGAGCGGGAATCGGGGCGCGGGAGGCTCCTTCGGTGGCCGCGGCCGCTCCCGGGGGGATCAGCTATCGGGGGCTGGGGAGGCGGCAAGGGCTGCGCGGGGGCGCCCGCGGGCCGGGGCTCGGCATGGTGCGCGGGGGCCCGGGGACGGGGGCCCGGGGACGGGGACCCGCGGGCGACGCCGGCGGGAGGCGATGCGGGGGCCGCTGCTGCCGCCCTGGGCCCGGCTCATAGCGCTCCCGCCGCTCCCGACGCGGGGGCCGCGTCGAACCCTAGGCGGCCTCCCGGTGCACTGCGCCCGGGGGCCATCGCGCCCGCGGCGGGCAACGTTGCAGGTCCGGAGCGGCGCCCCAGGAGGGAGGATGTGAAGTCCCCCCACGTGTGGCTCCTCGGCATCCGCCCCCCGTCTGTCCCGGGAGCAGGAGTCAGCCGGCCTGGCCGGTAAGAATGGCCTCCGGTTGCTGACAGTTCAGCCTGCACCGCGTCCTTTAAAAGGGAGGAGGGCGGGGGAGCTGGGGGGGGGGGGGGTGTGAGTGAGGAAAGAGTCCGCCCTCCCGGGTCGCGCCGCAGGAGCTAATCGCCGAGGGCGCGCCACCCTCCGCCCTCCCCGGCCACCCCCGCCCACCGCGCACCCCACGGGCTCTAACCCCGAGGAGTCCGGGCACCTCCCCACACACACCCCAACTCCCGCTCAGCTCAGAGCATCCCGCAGGAGGAAGGAGAGGGCCGCCGGGTTGCGCAGTGCGAGGGTGCGGACGCGGGCTGATGCTTTTTATTCAGTGTTTCCCAAACTTTTGACATATGTGTACCCCTTCTTTAATTTTGGTAACGCTGAGTATCCCTGGTACTCATGAGAACGTAAAATTAGGTGCAGCTAAGCACGGTGCGGTGCATATCCTCACCAAACTCCGGTGCAACGCGTACCCCCACCAAACTCTTCCGGTACCCCTGGGGGGGACACGTACCACACTTTGGGAAACACTGAGGGGGGCTGAGGCTTGTCGGTTCTTCTGTCGCTGGTGGCGCCATCCGCACTCATTCTTAGGACACCTGTTCCAAGGATTCTGGACGGATAACAGGATGTTTGGGGGCCGCCAGTATGTGCACTGAGACTGCAACTGTTTCCACTCTCCTCTCCCCCACCACCACCCCTTGCAGCAAGCCGGCTCATTTATACACACACACTCATACACACTCTTACACTCACACTCACACACACATTTACACACATACTCTCTTACACACACACACTCACACACACACTCTCTTACACACACACACACACACACACACACACACACACACGCACTCTCTCCCCACCCGCCCCTAACTTGCGCGGCCACTGAGTGAAGAATCAAGGGGTTACCCCACTCACCCACCAGGGCAACTTGCAAAACCTCAAAGAGCACCACTTTTCCTCCATTCACGCCCCGCAGAGGAGGAAATCAAAGAACAAAACGGATGATAATGGAGCAGCTCTGAACTCCCGTTCGGGCAGAGAAACACATTTCCTTAAAGGATGCGTCCCCTGTGTGCTATTTTCGGGGGCACTGCTCCTTCAGCGGCTTAAGTGCCTTGTGAAAGGGGTGTTATGTGAAATCCGGGCTGCACTGGAGAATTTGTTTTTACTGCATCCTGCACTTCCTCTCATCCTGCGCTGGCCTGTGAGACCACTGCCCGGCCCCGCGTATCTCAACCGGTTTGTCACACGCGCTGAATGCCCGCGACCCTGATTTAGATGTTGGTTGAGTTGAGTGAACCAAAAGAGACAAAATGTGCTGCGACCAGACATGAAAATGTGCGATCATAAAAAAAGCATTCACCACGCCTGGGGCTTCCCGAAGAGCGGCTCAGAGAAGCGTAAATATATATATACACTGAAGGGAGAGGTTTCTTTTTTAAAATCTAAGTTAAAAGTATACCCCAAGTCAAGAACTACTTCTGATTTCTGATTTTAAACATCAGGATTAGCACGGAGTTATGCGAATGTCAAAATAACACCCAAGGCTTCAGATGTTCAGTAGGACCATGTAAATCAGTATTTAACTTTATTGCTCGCTTAGATTTTCCTTGGGACAATGAGAAGCTATAAAGAAAAAGCAAATTAAACTCAGGCTTTCATCCACACACAGTGGGATAGTTTTTCTTGACTTAAAAATTGAGCATATGGCATTGTTTTTTGCAGAAATGACTCGGATGCTGTTTTTTTTATTTACACACAAAAAAGGGCTCTTTAAAAGTTGCTTTTTAGGAGTGTTGTTTGGGTTATATATATCCTGAGCAATTAAGAGGGAAAGTCATTTAGAACCACAGCAAAAGTGAGACATGGTGATTATAATAAGATGATAAAACTACAAAGACGTGTTTACGGCTCATAACTTGCCCAGAACCACACCTTTTAATATTATTTTTGTTAAATGGAGAGGAATTCCATTACATCACAACTGCATAAAGTTCTCTAGTAGCTACGGCAACCCCTGAGAGTCCCCCACGGGTCAAGTTTCTCTCATTATCCAGCTGTTCTTTGATAGCATTAATATTTTTAAGGAGTGATTTGTTGGCACTCACCTCCCATTAATTACATTCCCCATGCCACAGTGGGATTCTTTTCCCTAACACACCGGCATAATTAATTCCCTCAGTCAAAGCCTCTGTCTATTTGACTTATTTCGAGGGTATTTAACTCAAATTTCCTTGGATATTAACTAATGAAAAATAACCAGACCTTCAAATGATTTGATACTCCATAGATGTGATGTACGCCATGCTTTCATATCTCGATCCTGATCCAAAGTGCCTTTAAACTATTATGACGATCTGTTTCAGGACTACATAGGGAGTGTGTTTGGTTCCTTGACACAGAATATCTCCTCAAATTTTACATGGACAAATTTTTCTATTGATTTCACAGAGGAAGGGAGAAAGAGATAGAAACATCAATGATGAGAGAGAATCATTGACAGGCAGCCTCCCACACACCCCACACTGGGGACTGAGCCTGCAATCCAGGCATGTGCCTTAACCCGGAATTGAACCGTGATCTCCTGGTTCATAGGTCAATGCTCAACCACTGAGCTATGCGGGCTGGGCAACATGGACGAATTTTAACTGCAAAAGAGATGGTCTCTGAAAGCTCTTTGGGCACAGGAAGAGAATAGACACTTCCTCTTGGGTTTTTAAACACCCAAAGTTTCTATTATTCTGTTACCACTTTAATAATAAAAGAATATTTTTAAAAAAATTCTCGTAGATCTCCCTCAAGACTCTAGGAGGAGAGTGTGGAGATGGAAAATAAGATCTACACCATCTGAGGGATTATATAGCAGTTTTAGAAATTCTATATTTCTCCTTATCTCAGAAATACAAATTCCATATTTTGATGAAGAAAATCATAAGAGATCACTTCTTCAGCCTACATTCTCTTGTGGCCCTACCTCCAGGAAATTGTATAGGAAATGAGTTCCATGATATGACATCTGGGATTTGCTTTAACAAATGAGAGAAGAAGGAGGGAGGAGGGAAGGAGGAAGGGAGAGAGAGAGAGAGAGAGAGAGAGAGAGAGAGAGAGAGAGAGAGAGAGAGAGAGAGAGAGAGAGAGAGAAGGGAGGAGGAGGAAGAGGAGGAGGAGGAAGAAGGGAAAAAAAAGGAAGGGAGGGACAAAGGAGGGAGGGAGGGGAGAAGGGAGGAAGAATGGAGATGTGAAGATGGAAGAGACAAAACTGAAACACAATTGGCAATGAGGTAATAATTTAGCTGGTTGTAAGGTACTTATAAAAATCAAAATGCAATTCTATTTGTTATGTATGAATAAAAATTACTTGTTAAAAATACTTTTTGTTTTTAATTGATAGAAATTTGCAACAGTACAAAACTAGCACCAGACCATGTTTTTAAACCTTGTCTTCTCTGCTTCTCTTTGCTTGATTTTCTTTAGAACAAAGTGAAAGATTGAGAAAAGCGAAAACAGAGACATGAAGCAAAAACGGCAAAATGGGTACATCAAAAGGGGTGGAAACTAAAATGTACTCAGGAAAGGAGGAGAAAAGGCCAAAGGAATACAGAAGTGAAAAAGTAAATTAAAAGTGACAATTAATTTTGGCTATGGAAGTTCTTCCAGCTGACTTGCACTGGATCCAGAAATAAAATAGAAAACAAGTTTTTCAACCGTCCCTCAACTTCTTTCCTGCAGTGAGGAGTTATCACCAACCTTCCTTTAATTGCTTTTCCCAGGATTTTTTTAATTCTCTTTCTTGGATCACTCATAAATCTCTTATTCTAGGAGCAAGTCAATCTGAGTTACTTGGAAAATATTTTTTCCCCCTCAAATTTGCTTTGGAAGATATTCACCATTAGAGAATAGCAAGATGCCCAGAAGTATGCTCCCAGCCCCAACCTGGACCCCCCCCCCAAACTGTGCTTTAGCTGGCCTCAGCCTCTTGGTTTATAAAGAGGGAACTAGACAGAGGGCTCCTGAAGCACTGTTTCTTAAACCAAACGTGCATATGAGTCACCCAGAGACCTTGTTAAAATGCAGAATGTGATCTCCAGAGTCTGTGGAGGGGCCTGAATCGCTACACGTCCAGGCAAGCTCCCAGGTGATGGGGAGGCTGCTGGCCTGAGGACCATCCCCTTGCCCCTTGGGGCCTCCTCGGCCCTTGCCTCCAACCACAGGTGGAGGAATGAATTGAGCCAAAGGGACATATGCTCACCCAGAGCCCATTTCCTACCTTTCCACACCAATCCCTGGGCCTTGGGATCCCAGCACTCCCACGCAAGCTTGGGAACCCGTGTTTGCTTCTCCAGTTCACAGAATTCTCTTCCTGGTCTTAAGTGGTTCTAGGGGAAGGTGGTTAAAAATTGGTAAACACAGAACAGGGTGCTCAGACAGGTACAGGAGAGCCCGGGCAGTACCAGATGGTGTCAGGGATGGGAAGAAGGAGGGAGCGGGGCAGAGGCAGGCTGGTGGCCTCCAGGTCTAGTCTGGCCCTGGCTTGCACTTGGT